AAGAGTATACTGTCAGGCTGCATCACAGCCTGGTATGGCAAATCCACCGCTGCGGACCGCAAGGCTCTTCAGAGGGTGATACATGCAGCTGAATGCACCATTGGATGCACACTGCCTGCCCTGCAGCACACCTACAACACCAGGTGTCACAGGAAGGCCAAGAAGATCATCAGGGACCCCAGCCCCCCAAGCCATGCCCTGTCCTCCCCGCTTCAATCACTCATGGTAAAAACTGAAAGACTGCCCTCGCTACTCCCCACCATCGACATTTCTGCCCCCACACTCTCACTGACCTTACCTGCTACCTGGACAACGGACTTTACTCTGCCCCCACCCGAATGACATTCATCACTGTGGCAGTTGTTAATATATATATTATTACTTTTTTGTTTTATTTCACTCAATGATCACGCTGCTGCTCCCCCTATGGTCATTCCACCCACCCTCTCAGCAGCCTTTACTCTGCCTCCGCCACAATGGACATGTATTTATTAATCACTGCCACAGTTGTTATTATGTACTAGTGCTATTAATTCACTAGTCCTGCATGTTGGAGCTCGAAGCCAAAGATTTTCACTGTACCCTGCAATCACACCTGCAACCCTAGCTATAAAACACTCTGCATCTGAATATCTGAATCTGAATCTCTTTCTTTCTTTCTTTCTTTCTCTCTCTCTCCTCTCTCTCTCTCTCTCTCTCTCTCTCTCTCTCTCTCTCTCTCTCTCTCTCTCTCTCTCTCTCTCTCTCTCTCTCTCTCTCTCTCTCTCTCTCTCTCTCTCTCTCTCTTTCTCTCTCTCTCTCTATATATATATATATATATATATATATATATATATATATATATATCTCATGGACACAGAGACTAAATAACAATCAATAAATCAAATGTATCTTTAAAGCCCTTTTTACATCAGCAGTTGTCACAAAGTGCTTATACAGAAACCGAGCCTAAAACCCCAAAGCGCAAGAAATGCAGATGTAGAAGAACTGTGGCTAGGAAAAAATTCCTAGAAAGGCAGGAACCTAGGAAGAAACCTAGAGAGGAATCAGGCTCGGTGGGGTGGCCATTCCTCTTCTAGCTGTGCCAGGCGGAGATTACAAGAGTACAGAGCCATTGAGGCCAGATCGTTCTTCAAGCTTCCAAAGGGTCTGAGGTCAGTTAAATTTGCTCCTGGGTCTGTGTTTTATAACCAGGGGATGGAGGCGAAGCTCTCCTTGACATCATCGCTGCTCTATCCCAGAGGAATACCCCAGATGACAAATATCACCATTTGTCACCTACACTTTTTATGACTTCATTTGTCAGTGCATCGATCTGGCTTTAAAATGTGTCTGGAACACATCTAAACATCATAATAACACTCACAGTTATCTTTTCAACTGCCAGTATTTTAGAGATGTTAATGGTATTGTAAACAAAAATAAAACTAAGGCGAGCGAAACAGTTGCTATAGGACTCCATGATGGGGGAAACCATAGAACCTCTCCAAGCTATTTAACATCATGTTCAGTTGATAATGATGCTATATATAACTTTATTCAGAGGATTGACTCCTTTGACATCCCACCTTGAAGTTACTGAGCATAGTCCAATATGTCTTTAAAACAATGTTAAGGTCAAACACCTACAAATGACAAATGAGGCAATATATTTTTTTGTCTCTCCACAACTAAACAAGCTGCAAGCCTCTGGTAAGACGGTGCAGAGAGTTGACTATATCCCATCTGTAACATGGATTTTGAGCCATAGCAGGGTAAGTGGAAGTAGACAAAGGGAATCGATTGGATTCAGGGAGTTTCAGGGAGTGGAGACTCTTGAGGGAGTAAGGCTTTTTAAAGGGTGAAGCCTGCCTGAGCTTGGCTGGGCACGCTGCTCACAGATCGCTCAAGGCCATGGAATGGGAAAATAATTATTATTATTTAGTTTGATATAATAAAAAACTATTCAAGGTGTATTTTAGCATTTATTTCAAGCACATTCTTTATCCTCATTATAGGATGACTGAATGTATATATTATATTGTATTTGTAGGGTCTATTGTTTTTGTTATTGTCTGAGCTGTAATGTCAATGGCTGTGTTTCTATTTTCTGCAGACTTACCCAGACCTATCTTCATCCTTCTAGTCTGGCACTCAACCACCGTACCCTAAGGCCAAGGGCCATTCCTCTCCATTACTTCCATTTCAGCCACATTAAGGGTTTAATGATTTTCAAATCAGCAGAATTTACTCTATTATGACCTCAACCTTTCTTCTCCATCTTTGTGAGAGACATAAATCTATGGAATGGCCCTCTCCTCCTTCCTCTGGGCCTCCTCCCCCTGGGCAAGCAGGCAGGCAGGCAGCAGTAACCTGCCGTCAGAAGAGAAGAGCATAGAAGAGCGGACAAGGGAGCTGAGTAATGGGTGAGAAGTCACTGTTGGCCTGTGCTGTGAAGAAAGATCACCATGACACCTTCAGAGAGTCTCTCACCAGTGGCTTGTTCAGACTTGCAACAGCAGGCATGCGATTCCCTTGGTTCCCCTTGCGTTAACATGAAAGACTCCTCAGTGTCCTCTATTCCATTACTGTATGAACATCTAGTTGGCTGTTTTGTTGCTGTTGTAATGTTCATCATCAAATGTATTTAGTTGGGTAACAAGTTAGTCATCAGACTTCACACGACTGTAAAAAAAAACAGTTGAGTTTGTGCTCCAGCAGTGATGGTTTAAAATCAATGTGTCATACTACGTCATCTCCATGTCTGTTAATGTGTTTCATTATTCTATATTTGTTTCTTTGTTTGTTTCTATGTTTTCTTTCTTTCTTTTTTTACCTTTCTCCATTCCTCCTTGTTTGGCAACCTCTAATGTTGTTTCCAGAAACGGTGCCACTCTTTTATGAACTGGGAGAACCGTGATGGGAGGCCCCTTTGAGAAGCACAGGGAATTAGCACGTGGAGAGTCCTAGTAATCAAGCCCATTCGGACTAACGAAGGGAGACGGGAGAGCCTTTGAAATTGTTATTTTGTTGTTCTCCAAAGTCAAACAAGACAGTGAGCAGCATGCCACTGAGCAACTTTCCTCACAAGCTGAGAGCAGCATCACTGGCAATTTGAAGCCAAGTCAATCAACTTTGGTTAATTGGCTGTCCAACCACTTGTATTATGCCCTTCAAAGCCCAGGTCTTCTGTGATGTTGTCTTCTCATTAAATCCAAAAGACAAAAGAGGTAATTAAAGACCCCCAACAAGCTTTGTCATCAAGAGAACAGGAGGTAAGGAATGTGCTTCATCCTATTGTCAAACACCATTGTCAAGTCATATTAATCATGTAGAGACCCTTATTGAGAAAGACAAGCTGGTACTTCCGGTACTTTAGCACCAATTTCCATCTGGGGAATCCATTCAAAAACACATTCCCTCTTACTCAGAGCACATTATCTCCCTATATTGTATTGGATAGCAAACTCCCATTGGTAAATGTAATGTATTTGTGTGAATTGAGTTTACAGCACTGGGGGATTCCAGAGAGATAAACTTCAAGATGTGAGGGTAGAATGTTATACAGTCTAGCTAAATCCTATTTCAACCTGTACTGTTTGCTTATTTTTCAGCAGACAGGGAGGCAGGAGCACACAGTAAGAGGACAAACAGGTGCTGATGGGAGTTTGAAAAAGTGTATATTTTATAGAGATTGGAGGACATAAGAAAGAAAAAAAACACTGCATTTTGCTGATTGTACAGACCTGGGATCATCGATCAATTAATCATCATTGCATGACAGCCATCAATAATATTAAAAGCTCTATCCATATCTAAAGTCAGTTTCCCTAAAAATTAATTTTGTTGGTGAGCATCCAGTGTCGTCTTCAATGCCCTAACGGCAATAATTTGGCTTACATTATATTTCATTCCCAGGAGAAATTCAGTAAAATTCAAAATGACAAAATGAGTTTTTGCGCAAGGACATTGTAAAAGAGAGAGGATAGGGGGAGTATTCTCAGAGGAAGATGACAAAGGGTCAGTTGTGTGTGCAGCTGAAATGCCAGCCAGCAATGTGGCAATGTGACCTCTCTCCCCATCTGCTTCCTTCAGCCACTTGAGTACAAACCTATGCATTTATTATATATGACAACATGAAAACAACATCATGCCATGGTACGGATAGAGCTGAAAACTGCCCAAATGACTCCCCTGAAAATAAAAAACGTTAAAAAAATCTGACAAGATATATGAAATGTGCACCCTGTCCAACATCTATGCCTTTGTACAAAAAGCTAACTTAATCGAAATCCTGATGACCGCATTGTTTGTTTTAAGGCCAGGCAGTATTTCTCCCAGCAATATCACACCATATTGGACAGGACAGGATAGTGACTGAGGAAGAGGGTAAACAGAAGCCTGGAATCACGACTTTCCTTCTTAATTTCCCCTCCCCTCCCCATGGGTCTGAGGAACAGATGGAGCGCGGTGCTTCCAAAGCCCCATCATTACAGGATGGATGATGTCACTCACTGTTTTTCATTTGGTGTGTCATTATCTCCAAGGTAACACTGGTGGCTTCCGAAGCTGCCGTGTGCAAGGCGTCCCCCTGTTGGAGAGGAAGGGAAGGTCCTTGCTCCTCACTCATGCATGTGTCAGGTTGTCCCCCTCACTCTCCAGCTGGGTTCAACCTCATTTGTTTGTGCACATATGGTGTGGGAACCACAGGACACTGTCCCCTCGTATGGCCATGTTTTTATTAGCTCTATAACAATGGCCTACTGTAAAATACCTCTGTCTCACACACACACACACACACACACACACACACACACACACACACACACACACACACACTATTATTGTAAGTGGGTCTCTTTGTAAAGTCTCATAGCGCCACCTACTGCAAAAATGGCTGAAGTGCGATAGTGAGATTGTGCTCGAAGGCCGCTAGGTGGCGAAATTGTAAAACATTCATAATAGACGTTCCGGAAGCGTCTCTTCTTCGACTGTTGTAGTGCCCTTTCTCTTTTGACATATTTCTCTAGCTAGCTAACTTTGAGAGCTGAACATTTAGCTAGAAATCATGAGTATAATAAAGGTTTTTGATCAGGATTTTTGCAAGGGTCTCGAAAATGTTCCAGTTTTACGAGAGGGTAATGTCAGCAAAGAAGAATATCCTGCATTTCAGGTAAAACTCTTTATTGTAGCTAGTGGTAGCTGACTGGTTAGCCCATCCAATACAAATAGCCAACTATCTGTAAGAAATATGAAAAACCTGTCACTGTTTGTCAGGCACCATTATTCCACGTGCATAATTGTTTATATGGATAAAGCATAGTTACTTGGCCTATGCTACATTGTGATAATGAAACTATTGGAACTTCTTGCATTGGTGCTTGTAAACAGTTCTCTGTGATGAGAACCAGGTTGAAGTCAATGAAGAAGCAGTTTTCTTTATATTCAGGGGGAATAACAAAGGTGCAACAACCTACTTCTTTGCAATAGGAACATTTAAAAAAAACTATTCTTAGAATCCCGTGTAGCTCAGTTGGTAGAGCATGGCGCTTGCAATGCCAGGGTGGTGGGTTCGATTCCCACGGGGGACCAGTATGAAAATGTATGCACTCACTAACTGTAAGTCGCTCTGGATAAGAGCGTCTGCTAAATTACTAAAATGTAGAATAAGCCACATCAAGTCTGTTCTAGTACCTGTTCAAAAATAAGTGAACTGCTGCCCTTCTAGCTACAACAATAAAAAAACATGAAGTTGAAACCATTGAGGCCACAGCACAGACAACACAATACTTCCCCTTTGTATTGATTTCTCAGTGAGTCTCACATACTGTGGTTTGAGTGAAAAAAATGATATATATTTAGATTCTATTTTTTGTGAGGGAAAACAATTTCTATATACTTTCAAATCGAAACTGTGTAGAAATGATAATGCACCTACATTTATACAGTTACCTGACTGTGTCCAGCTCGCTAATAATCACCTAAATTAAAGTTAGACAGTCAGGGAGGATCGCAAATTCCAAATACGATGGCTAGAGGACAATCTTTTGCAAATTTTGATGGCGAGGAAATAATTTATAACCAATTCTCAGTGCGGCCCTACGGACCTCATTTAAGACAAAATGCGGTCCCCGGGGCAAAATAAGTTTGCTGTAGACACAGGTATAAAGAGCGATGTATATCATCATTCATGCTGTCTAAACTGTTTTCTGCCAGCTGGTGGCAGCACAATGTCATCACTGGCCACCACTTGGACTGTCTGGGTGAAATAGAGAGAATCTGAAATAGGCTAACTACTGAATCTTCGGAACTGCACCACTTTAACAATCTCCTTTCTGTCTTTCTCTTTGAGATTTTCACCAGGGCTTGCTTAAAGCAGCATAGCTGTGCAGGATTGGATGCTATTACAGGGATGAAAAAACATAACTTCTATGTGGGATTGAAAAAGCTTTTACTCTGTAACTATTTCCTCTAACCAAGTTATATCCCCCAGAGCCAAATACCTTGAGTGGTTGTTATTTTTATTTTTTTATTGGTCTGATTTACCTTTGTATCTGATTAAAAAAAAAAAAAAAAAAATCTGTCCCCTCTCCTCCATCTGTCTCTTTGGTTTCAGTATTCTCCAGAGAACATCCAGGGGCCAGGATGTGACATAGACCCCAGTGAGGTGACTCTTCCTGGATGCTCCTGCCACGCCCACTCCTGCCTTAGAGAGAGCTGCTCCTGCCTGCAGACATACGGACAGACATACAGACAGACGTACGACAGCCACGGCCGACTCCAAGACCAGGGGGATACAGAGACTGGTTACTGCAGGCCTGTGTTTGAGTGTAACGCCTTGTGTGGCTGTAGTGAGGCCTGCTGTAACCGGGTGGTCCAGAGAGGCCTGGGGCTCAAGTTGTGTGTCTACCCCACAGAAGACAGGGGCTGGGGGGTGCGAGCGCTGGAGCCCATCCCCTGTGGAACCTTTGTGTGTGAGTATGCTGGGGAGGTGATCGGCTTTGATGAGGCCAGACGCAGACAGCTTGCTCAGGGACCTGAGGACAACAACTACATCATTGCTGTGCGGGAGCATGCTGGCCAGGGCCCGGTCAGTGAGACCTTTGTGGACCCAACTGTGGTTGGGAATGTGGGGCGTTTTCTGAACCACTCCTGCCAGCCCAACCTTTTCATGGTGCCTGTCCGGGTGCACTCCCTTGTGCCCAGTCTGGCCCTGTTCGCTGGCAGGGACATCACCCCTCAGGAGGAGCTCACATTTGACTACTCAGGGGGCTATAGCAATATGCCCTCTGTGGAGAGGTTGGTTCAGAGTGACCCTTGGACAGAGGCCAGTGGGACAGGTACCCTCCAGAGGAAACCATGCCACTGTGGTGCCCAGAACTGTTCCCAATTCCTGCCCCTGGACATATCTGTTCTCAACAATTAGATTAGAGATTATACATGTATGTTTTGTTATTTGAAGTGATCATGTTGTACTGGAAAGGAGAGACACTTTGCACTGAACCCTTGTTTTTTTCATCATTTCGGGTGAATCCAACTCTCTCATTCTAATGTACGTTTTATTTAATTAAATGTCAGTCCATGTGTCTTTTTGCACCCCAGTGTGACAGTTCTGTGCTAACAGCATCATCCATCATTTTAGATGGATCTGTATGACATCATTGGCACCACTAACACAGTCTGCTGGTGTATTCATCATGTGCTTACCAGTGTAGCATCCATCTGGATTAAAGGGGAAATCTGGGATTGGTACATCCATTTAGGATTCATACTGTCATTGATTCTTGAATAACGTAAATGATAAATGCCTCATGAGCTTAGTTTAACTGTCATACCCAAAATATAAGCTTGTTTTACTCCATTGTTTGTAAACAATGTCATTCTAAATAAACACTGTATAGCTTCAAAACATGGTTAAAATGTAATCGATGGTGAGTAGCTCTGTCTATGAATTTGAGAGTGGTTACATTTCTCCAGCCCCAACTCTCAGCTGTTTACCAAAACAAGTGCCCGGGTGACACTTTGTTGTTTTTCGAATCATTTATGATGACCCACCTTTCTGTCACGACTGCCCACTATCTCACTGTCCCCACCCTCTTTATGTTGGATGGCATCGCTGATCTGATATAAAGATACAGCATTTCTATCACAAAGTATACATTTAATCTGTGTTGAGCAGACCAGCTAAAAGCTCTCTCTGTCAGAGAGTACTTGTACTGTAAGTCGCTCTGGATAAGAGCGTCTGCTAAATGACTAAAATGTAAATCTACAGTTGAAGTCGGAAGTTTACATACACCTTAGCCAAATACATTTAAACTCTGTTTTTCACAATTCCTGACATTTAATCCTAGTAAAAATTCCCTGTCTTAGGTCAGTTAGGATCACCACTTTATTTTAAGAATGTGAAATGTCAGAATAATAGTAGAGAGAATTATTTATTTCAGCATTTATTTATTTCATCACATTCCCAGTGGGTCAGAAGTTTACATACACTCAATTAGTATTTGGTAGCATTGCCTTTAAATTGTTTAACTTGGGTCAAACGTTTCGGGTAGCCTTCCACAATAAGAGGTGAATTTTGGCCCATTCCTCCTAACAGAGCTGGTGTAACTGAGTCAGGTTTGTAGGCCTCCTTGCTCGCACACACTTTTTCAGTTCTGCCCACACATTTTCTATAGGATTGAGGTCAGGGCTTTGTGATGGCCACTCCAATACCTTGACTTTGTTGGCCTTAAGCCATTCTGCCACAACTTTGGAAGTATGCTTGGGGTCATTGTCCATTTGGAAGACCCATTTGCGACCAAGCTTTAACTTCCTGACTGATGTCTTGAGATGTTGCTTCAATATATCCACATAATTTTCCTTCCTCATGATGCCATCTATTTTATGAAGTGCACCAGATAATGGCCAAACAGTTCTATTTTTGTTTTCATCAGACCAGAGGACATTTCTCTGAAAAGTACGATCTTTGTCCCCATGTGCAGTTGCAAACCGTAGTCTGGCTTTTTTATGCCGGTTTTGGAGCAGTGGCTTCTTCCTTGCTGAGCGGCCTTTTAGGTTATGTTGATATAGGACTCGTTTTACTGTGGATATACAGTGGGGAGAACAAGTATTTGATACACTGCCGATTTTGCAGGTTTTCCTACTTACAAAGCATGTAGAGGTCTGTAATTTTTATCATACGTACACTTCAACTGTGAGAGATGGAATCTAAAACAAAAATCCAGAAAATCACATTGTATGATTTGTAAGTAATTAATTTGCATTTTATTGCATGACATAAGTATTTGATCACCTACCAACCAGTAAGAATTCCGGCTCTCACAGACCTGTTAGTTTTTCTTAAACCTCCCGTTGTCCTAGGGTCAAAATGACCCGCCACTGTGTTGAACCAACTTTATTTAATTTTTATATTTTGGGGATCATTTGTGAGAAGGAGGCAGTGAGACTTTAAAGAAAGTATCACTGCCTCCTTCTCACAAATGATCAAAAAAATATAAAAATTAAATAAAGTTGGTTCAACACAGTGGCGGGTCATTTTGACCCTAGGACAACGGGAGGGTTAAGAAGCCCTTCTGTTCTCCACTCATTACCTGTATTAACTGCACCTGTTTGAACTCGTTACCTGTATAAAAGACACCTGTCCACACACTCAATCAAACAGACTCCAACCTCTCCACAATGGCCAAGACCAGAGAGCTGTGTAAGGACATCAGGGATAAAATTGTAGACCTGCACAAGGCTGGGATGGGCTACAGGACAATAGGCAAGCAGCTTGGTGAGAAGGCAACAACTGTTGGCGCAATTATTAGAAAATGGAAGAAGTTCAAGATGACGGTCAATCACCCTCGGTCTGGGGCTCCATGCAAGATCTCACCTCATGGGGCATCAATGATCATGAGGAAGGTGAGGGATCAGCCCAGAACTACACGGCAGGACCTGGTCAATGACCTGAAGAGAGCTGGGACCACAGTCTCAAAGAAAACCATTAGTAACACACTACGCCGTCATGGATTAAAATCCTGCAGCGCACGCAAGGTCCCCCTGCTCAAGCCAGCGCATGTCCAGGCCCGTCTGAAGTTTGCCAATGACCATCTGGATGATCCAGAGGAGGAATGGGAGAAGGTAATGTGGTCTGATGAGACAAAAATAGAGCTTTTTGGTCTAAACTCCACTCGCCGTGTTTGGAGGAAGAAGAGGGATGAGTACAACCCCAAGAACACCATCCCAACCGTGAAGCATGGAGGTGGAAACATCATTCTTTGGGGATGCTTTTCTGCAATGGGGACAGGACGACTGCACCGTATTGAGGGGAGGATGGATGGGGCCATGTATCGCGAGATCTTGGCCAATAATCTCCTTCCCTCAGTAAGAGCATTGAAGATGGGTCGTGGCTGGGTCTTCCAGCATGACAACGACCAGAAACACACAGCCAGGGCAACTAAGGAGTGGCTCCGTAAGAAGCATCTCAAGGTCCTGGAATGGCCTAGCCAGTCTCCAGACCTGAATCCAATAGAAAATCTTTGGAGGGAGCTGAAAGTCCGTATTGCCCAGCGACAGCCCCGAAACCTGAAGGATCTGGAGAAGGTCTGTATGGAGGAGTGGGCCAAAATCCCTGCTGCAGTGTGTGCAAACCTGGTCAAGACCTACAGGAAACGTATGATCTCTGTAATTGCAAACAAAGGTTTCTGTACCAAATATTAAGTTCTGCTTTTCTGATGTATCAAATACTTATGTCATGCAATAAAATGCAATTGAATTACTTAAAAATCATACAATGTGATTTTCTGGATTTTTGTTTTAGATTCCGTCTCTCACAGTTGAAGTGTACCTATGATAAAAATTACAGACCTCTATATGCTTTGTAAGTAGGAAAACCTGCAAAATCGGCAGTGTATCAAATACTTGTTCTCCCCACTGTAGATACTTTTGTACCTGATTCCTCCAGCATCTTCATAAGGTCCTTTGCTGTTGTTCTGGGATTGATTTGCCCTTTTCGTCCCAAAGTACATTCATCTCTAGGAGACAGAACGCGTCTCCTTCCTGAGCGGTATGACGGCTGCGTGGTCCCATGGTGTTTATACTTGCGTACTATTGTTTGTACAGATGAACGTGGTACCTTCAGGCGTTTGGAAATTGCTCCCAAGGATGAACCAGAATTGTGGAGGTCTACAAATTATTTTCTGAGGTCTTGGCTGATTTATTTTGATTTTCCCATGATGTCAAGCAAAGAGGCACTGAGTTTGAAGGTAGGCCTTGAAATACATCCACAGGTACACCTCCAATTGACTCAAATTATGTCAATTAGCCTATCAGAAGCTTCTAAAGTCATTACATAATTTTCTGGAATTTTCCAAGCTGTTTAAAGGCACAGTCAACTTAGTGTATGTAAACTTCTGACCCACTGGAATTGTGAAACAGTGAATTATAAGTGAAATAATCTGTCTGTAAACAATTGTTGAAAAAATTACTTGTGTCATGCACAAAGTAAGTGTCCTAACTGACTTGCCAAAACTATAGTTAACAAGAAATTTGTGGAGTGGTGGAAAAATTATTTTTAATGACTCCAACCTAAGTGTATGTAAACTTCCGACTTCAACTGTATGTGAGGCACGTCCCACCAGACCTAGCTATCAAAACACTTCAGTCCACAAGTGGCCTATATATAAGCCCTCGCCCAAATCTCACAGACAGCAGATGAATCAAGCAGATCTTTATATTAACTATACACTCACTGATATTGACTACAGCAAATGAGGGGTCTGGCTTTGTAGGGGTATGTATACTTATACAAATCATATGTGCTCATAGATTGGCACAACAATTTTGTATGTAAAGACATTTCTCTCCCAAAAGACATCCATTTAACCTTAAAAGATATAGAGCATACAAGTTGTGGGTATCTTGTCTCCATCCCTCAACTTTACAATTCTCTCTGTATTCTTTCATCACAGTGTCCTTTTGAAGGTATCTTGAGCTCTTCATTGGAGCCAAGAATCTCCAGAGGTGTGAGCAATTAAGAAGGGCCGGAGGGTATTTTAATATAGTAACAGGTCTTATTCCCCTGCCACGGGAGGGGCCAAGGTGTCCCGCTTTACTGTGACCATTCTTAAATCAGGCCCCTCTCCTCTCAAACTGCCCCACTTCCAGTCTAGACCCGCTTTCATCCTAACTGCTTATTAATATCCACATCTGGGTTAATTAGCACAGAGACCGTGGCGTGTTCCGTCCAGAAATGAGACTAGCACTCCAGTCACATTGGGGGACGGGGGAGAGCACCGTGGCTGAACCACTGGGTGGACTCATTTTACTTCACCCGGGGCAAAGGGTGGATGGAATTGGCACATTTTAGACCATCCTATTGGTCCTAAAGTGAAATCTCTGCCCACCCGGGGCACCAGGCGAGCTGAAACTAATTTATCCATC